CAACAACCTAGATGGGTGGATACTCAAAAGTGAACAATATTTCACTTCATATCATCTTAATGAACCAACAAAGATGCAGGCGGAAGGGAATGGAAGGGAGTGGAAGTTTTGCAACCTGGATATGCCCCTCTTTGACAGCAACAACCTAGATGGGTGGATACTCAAAAGTGAACAATATTTCACTTCATATCATCTTAATGAACCAACAAAGATGCAGGCGGAAGGGAATGGAAGGGAGTGGAAGTTTTGCAACCTGGATATGCCCCTCTTTGACAGCAACAACCTAGATGGGTGGATACTCAAAAGTGAACAATATTTCACTTCATATCATCTTAATGAACCAACAAAGATGCAGGCGGAAGGGAATGGAAGGGAGTGGAAGTTTTGCAACCTGGATATGCCCCTCTTTGACAGCAACAACCTAGATGGGTGGATACTCAAAAGTGAACAATATTTCACTTCATATCATCTTAATGAACCAACAAAGATGCAGGCGGAAGGGAATGGAAGGGAGTGGAAGTTTTGCAACCTGGATATGCCCCTCTTTGACAGCAACAACCTAGATGGGTGGATACTCAAAAGTGAACAATATTTCACTTCATATCATCTTAATGAACCAACAAAGATGCAGGCGGAAGGGAATGGAAGGGAGTGGAAGTTTTGCAACCTGGATATGCCCCTCTTTGACAGCAACAACCTAGATGGGTGGATACTCAAAAGTGAACAATATTTCACTTCATATCATCTTAATGAACCAACAAAGATGCAGGCGGAAGGGAATGGAAGGGAGTGGAAGTTTTGCAACCTGGATATGCCCCTCTTTGACAGCAACAACCTAGATGGGTGGATACTCAAAAGTGAACAATATTTCACTTTATATCATCTTAATGAACCAACAAAGATGCAGGCGGCCGTGGTGGCGTTAAATGGAGATGCCTTGGGTACCAGTGGGAGAAGGCCGATTGGAGGTTGGGCGGAGATGCCTTGAGGTGGTAGAAGAAGGTAATAGGGTGAGTAACTTGAATAAGGGAGGATTTGGGCTCAATAGAGTTGGGCCAACCCAAACTGGTTGGAAGAGTGGAATTACGGGTCTAATTACCACTTATCAACCTTCCAGCAATTCCTACCATTCCACGTTAGAATCTGGTCACAACTTAGTCAATCAAAAAAGACCTAATTCTAGGAGGAAGTAGTAATGGAGGAATGTTATGTATTTGTAAATACATAACAATGATTAAAATATTCTAAAAACACATGGTAGAGAGAGAAAAGAAGAGAGAGATAGGAAGAGAAAGGTCGGTAGGTGGACCCTACCTATATTTTAATTAGATTGTCTCACGTGATGGGGGACCACGTGCTGATTGTTCCACTGAAAACTTATATGGTACCATTGAATCTTCGGTGGTATTATTTTCGATATATTTCGTACAATTAAATGCATATATAATATCACTATATGCAGACATTGTATCATCGCATGTTCAGTGGTATTTATTGATCATCCAATGATACCAGAATATGTATTCAATTGTACATGTAATTACAAAATTGCCCCTTATTATACATTTTAACATGCATAATATTCCTCCCTTTAAAATCCCTCTAATTCTAGCGTGATCCAAGGATGAAAAGACTCACCAAAAAAGAGCTCCAACACAAAAGGGCCAAGGGATTATGTTTTAGGTGTGACGAGAGATGGGGGCTTGGCCACATATGCAAAATAAGCAGTTGAGCGTGTTGTTGGTAGACGAGGAGGACAAAAGGGAGGATAAGAGGGAGAACCTTTATGGTGGATTTGGTAGTGCATACCTGGCGGATGTCACTCTGCGCTTAATAGTAGGAATTTCCAACCCAAAGACCATGAGGAAGAGGGAAACAATACATAAACCGGCGGTGATTATGATGATTGACCAAGGGGCCACACATAACTTCGTTTTGGCACAAGAATTGGGGCTACTGGTGGGGGAATGTCGTTGGGAGATGGAGAAGCAATTAGAGGGAGTGGGTGTTCACGTGTTGTAAGAATGTACGAGTACAACTAGAAGGGGGTGTAGAAGTGATGGAGGAGATTTTGCCATTTTTGGGGTCCAATGGTTAGAGAAAATAGGGGCCATTACCATTGAATGGAAGATGCAAGTGATGAGTTTCACAGTAGCCGGTATTCCCATCACCTTATACGGGGATCCTTCCCTTGATAAAACGCAAAAGGAGGAGTTCTAGTGAAACTAAATGCAATTAAGGAGGCACAAGAAGGGCGGAAGGAAACAGGGGTGAATGGCCGGATTTTTCGAAGTAGGTAGAAGAGAAATATGCTGGGTTGTTCATTGCTATCGGGGTTGCCGCCGGAAAGGGGGCATGAGCATGCCATTGTCCTCAAGGAGGGCTGATACCCCAATTCCAGAAGGACGAAATTGAGAAATTAATTAGGGAAATGCTCGAAGTCGACCTACTGGTCAAAGCAAAAGAAAGGACGGCTCATGGAGGTTCTGTGCCGATTACCGAGCCCTCAACAAAGAGACGGTATCGGATAAATACCTAATACCCGTTTCGACAAACTGCTTGACTTGAAAGCAGGATACCAGCTAGGGTACAAGCTAAGGATACCCACAAAATTGCTTTCCGAACCCATGAGGACCATTATGAGTTCCGTGCGATGCCCTTCGGGCTATCCAACGCCTGCCACATTCCGGTCATTTATGAACGAAGTGCTCGTTATTTTTTTTTTTCTACTTAAGGAAGTTCATAAGGAACAAATGGAGATAGTAGCTACAACCTACGAGCTTGAAGGATCTCGGGGGGTTCTTGGGGCTTACAAAATATTATCGGAATTTCATTGCAAGATATGCAATCATAGCCAAACCCTTGAGATAGTAGATACAATAGTTTTGATTAGACCGAAGAAGCTACCAAGGCCTTTAAGTTGCTAAAGGAGGCTATGACTATAACCCTTGTCCTTGTAATGCCGAATATTGGAAAGTTGTTTGTGGTAGAAATAGACGCGTTTAGGTTTGAACTCGAGGCTATTTTGATGCAAGAGAATCATCCCATTGCTTTTTTTAGCAATAATTTGGGTGTTCAAGTGAGAAAAATCAATTTACGAAAACGAATTGATGGCAATATGTTTAACACAAATTCGGTTCACTCATCGGAAGACACTTCATAGTCCATGTTATGTAAAACAACACAGAGAGATTAAGAACACTATCTGGGGTAAGAAAGTTGATCGGGTTTGATTTCAAAATTCAATATGAACCCGGAATTTCTAATCGGGGAGTTGATGCTCTTTCAAGGAAGATGGAGGATGAATTGGATTCGGGGGCAATGGTTACAAAATAGGGGATACACTGGGAAGGGGTGCCGATGAGTGGTTGGGCAAAATAGTGTAAGGGTTGGTTGGGGTTTTTGCTTTTTGCTAAGAGAAGGATGCTTATACTATAAAGGCATGGTGGTTTTGTTAAGAAAGTCTAAATACAAGGCTGACGGTCATTCCAAGAAAATTAAGACTTATTTGAGACTAGCAGTAGAGTGGTTTTGGTAGGGTATGCTAAGGGATGTGGGAAAGCATGTGAGGCAATGTGAGATATGTGAGGTATGTCTAAAGAACAAGCGTTCTCAAATGCAATCGGTAGGACTTCTTCAACCACTATCCATCCCATCAATTGTGTGGGAGGACATATCAATGGATTTCATCAAAGGACAGCCGATACTATAGTTGTAGTTGTTTATAGGCTATGCAGTTATGCTCACTTCATTGATTTGAAGCAGTGTTTGACAGAGAACGGTATTGTGTTAAAGGATGATGATTAATATATGATTAAATTACTTGCTCATGCTCTGCTTCAAAAGAAAATATTTCCTACTGTCATGTTTCTGTCCTTTTCTACTTTCTTTGCTTTCATATTGTAGCCGTTATTTGGAAAGTATCCTAGGAAGTTTCCTTGGAATGAGGTGTCTCTTTGAAAGTGGTCTGAACCACCTATTTATGTAAAGTTTTGATGTTGTATTAAGGCAGAATGAGCAACCCTAAAATTACTGTTTCATTGATATTTCTTCTTTCAGTATTATTTTTGTCTTCATGGTATCACAGCCACAAGCTCCAAAACAGATCATTTTCAAACTTAAAATCATAAATATTCTATCTTTTCTCTATTTTCTCACATAAAGTTGAAATCTTTTTCTTTTCTTTCTCGTTAAAGTCATCTGCTCATTATCCGCATTTGTTGGGATTGAAAAACTCCAGGGATCTTCCAACTTCAGGTCATGGAAGAGATCCATGGAGATTGCTCTTTCCGAGAAAAGGACACTTGGATTTGTGACAGGAACACTAAAGAAAGACTTGGATGATGAGGTTAAATCTGAAGCATGGGAAACATGAAACAACATGATTATCTCATGGATACTTAGTGCAGACTCATATTCAATTAAACAGTTTATTATGTTTGTTAATAACACATGTCAGACCAAGACTGACCTAGAAAGGAGGTTCTCACTCACGAATAGGTCTAGGAAATACAAACTTAATAAAGATTTGTATGAGAACAAGCAGCAAGGGAAGAAGATTAGTGAATATTATACAAAAATAAAGGCAATATGGGAAGAGCTGCAATCTTTTCATGCTCTTCCTGTAATCACTAATATTACACGACGCGACCCGGGTGCGGAGATCCTTGGGTGGAAAAGTGGACTTGTTAATCATGAACCCTTGATCTAAAATAGAAAGGCAGCTTCACTAAACCAAGAGCCTAAAACCTTAGGGTTTTTGATCGAAACTGAAAAACGAGCACTCCGACACCAAGAAGTTACCGGATTTCTTTGCCGGCGACAGGAAATTGGTTCTTTGAGTCTTCGACTATTTAAATGCCATTTTTTATTTATTTTCTTCATTTTTTTAATGGGGGTGGTGGGGTAGGTAGTCTTGAAAATTGAAATAGTAAGTTAGTGTGGGGGTGGGTGGGAGACTCACGTGATTTATATACTGTATTTCTTTTGTTTTTTTTTACTGTTTTTCTATTTTTAAAGCTGAATAATAAATAATGTACTATGTACAACTCTACTTCTACTTTGACCGTTTTATTTTTATTTTTTTGTGTAAACAGTCTACTTTGACCTATTTTTACTTAACTAACTCTATTTTTTTAATTGCCGTGTCCCCGACTCCCGAGTCCAAATTCAACATTTGGACTCTTTTAAAACGTGTCCGCGGATCCTTAATTTTATAATATTCCGAGCCTGGCACTTGGACCCATACCCGAGTCCGACACCTACACCCGAGTCCGAGCTTCGTAGGTTAGTAACATTAGAGTGAGTATGGTGGGTCTAGCACAAGCACATCTAGCCCGTTAATGTAGATAAAAGCACTGTTGATGCTTCCAAGACAATCTCTTGGTGAGCAGAAAGATGAAAATGAGCATAACTATTGCTGAATGAGTAGAAAATGAGTGGATTATTGATTCCGGTGCCTCTGATCATATGACTCGATACTTAACACTATGCATGATGTTGTAAAAGTGAAAATAATCCACAAATCAACCTGCCTAGTCAAACTACCAATATCTCTCATTTTAGAAGAGTGAATCTTGAAAACAAACTATAATTGAAAAATGTGTTGTAACAGCACCGCATTATACAGCATTATACAGGACTTAGATCTAAGTATTGTGAAAGGAATAGGAAGAATGAGGAGTGGTATGTATAATCTTCAGAAAAAGCCACTTGAAGTTGTTATAAAGCCTCAGATTACTCGGAAAGTGTTGGAAGGACTAAAGAAAGCAATGAATGTGAGTGCATATAGGAATGTACCAACAGGTTGGGACATGCTCCAATGAAGAGAATTGAGAAGATTCATGGATTAAAGGGAGTGTTATTTTTTAGTGTTACACTTTACTTTAATCCCTATTCATGTAATGATTTTGCCTCATCTATTTAACTAATACTTCCTCCATTTTTTAATGCTTGCAAATTGCAACAACTCCCTAAAATGAAAATGTAACAATACTTACAAAGAAATTTTTTTGTTGAAATTTGTAATATGAAACTTTTTTGAATCTCACAGTCCACTAAATTATACACCTAACATACCCATTTTAAGTGTATTAAATCATGTGAGGCCTGCTTTTTACCCATCTATCCATGTTAGGTGTATAATTTATTAAACCATTATAAAACGAAGAAAAAAACGGAGAGAAAACGCTGAAAAACAAAAGAGAAAATGAATATATAGTAATGTGTATCTTACAACGTGGTACTAGCAGTCACGTAGGCACGGGCAGGAAGAGACACGGGGAGGAACGTGCGCAGAGGCACGGTCGGGAACGTCCGCAGAGGCACGGTCGGGAACGTCCGCAGAGGCACGGGCAGGAACGTCTGCAGAGGCACGGGCAGGAACGTCCGCAAAAAGACCCTCTCGAGCTAAACAAACACAACCCAAAACAAGCAACACGACAGAAGTAGCAGCAATGACGATGATACCCCAATAAATCTTGATTTTATCCTGCATTTAGTGATTTAACATTTTAGCTATTATAATGTGATACTTTGTATATAAATAATAATTTAATAAGTAATAAACAAAATTTAACCTTAAAGACTCGTGGCAAATTCCCAATGGTAACCCCTACATGGACTCAGCAAATTCCCCCTTCATACGTGTATCGACACGACCCCGACATGTGAGACCCGCTTGTTTACCCTTGGACACGCCATTGAAGAAAAAAGAGAAAAATAAAAAATAAAAATAAAAATAAAAAAATCGCAGAGTGAGTCCTACCCATTAATTCATCTATCTTCTAACTTTGGTTGACCGATCAATTACAAGCGAAGTTATACCCAATAACGAATTTTTAGTTATTTAGGGTTCATTAATAAACCCTAAATCTGCAAAATTGAAGGTATCGAGGGGTAATCATGATTTGAGTTGTTAGGGCTGTTATCAGGTTTAAGCAAAGCATTTGATGTATGTGAATTTGCATTTATCTTTTTTTTTTCAAGACAAGAAGTTCTTTTTTTTTTAACGAGCGGAGAAGACGAAGTTATATGAATAGTGAAGAATTGATTTTTTTGTTCTGTTTTTTTCCCTTTTTTGACATTGGGGGTAGTACTTAGCCTCTGCCCACATGGGTTGCAAAGTTAACCTCCAATGTAGTACTCCATTTTATTTTTCTTTTATATATATTTGTGAAACTTTATAAAATGATACGAATAACTGTTATAATATTAGGAGGATAGAGGAATAGTACCTATATTATAGCTTATTAGCCTTAAATAACCTATCTCAACGTATTAGTCCTTATAATTACAAAATTATAAGCCCTTGCTTACCTTCATTGACATTATTTCTCACTTATTATTACCTATGTTAACTAAAATTCTAAACCGTCAACTTATCTAATATGAACTTATTAGTCATGACCATATCTATCTCATTTTAACTTATTAGACTATAATTCATCCAGACTTAGCGATCCTTATCTTATCTACACTGCAGTCCATATCTTATGTGACTTACTAGCGTTTAAGTTATCTAACTTGAACTCATTAGTCATCATCTTATCATATTTGAACTTACTAGCCCTAAACTTATCCTATATAACTCATTTTAGACTTAATAATCCTTAGCTAATCTACACTTATTAGCCTTAAGTTTATCTGATTTGAACTCACTCATTACCCATTGTCTAAAGTTAACTATTTTTTTGAGTTTTATAGAACCTATGATTAAATTTCTAAGGGATAAAGTCAATTAAGATTATTTTTGTAGATAAAACAATACATCAAGTCATCTAAATTGAGAACAATGAACACAATTAAAACCAAAACAAGATAAGCATGAAAGTGATCAAGGGTAATTTCAAACCTCATCGGTGTACGAAGAGGTGAAAGTGGTGATATATATCGCGAACATTGCACACACGAGACTAGCTAAGGCCAGAAGAGCTCCAGCCCACTGGAGAAGAAGGCCGTACGTCTCCCGTCGCCTCTCAGACTGAGACTGTGGCCGTGGCTGTAGAAACGGAACCAACTCTGGCGGCTGCGCAGCAGCCTGAACGTGCAGTGTGATGGGGATGACTACCGACATCCTACATTAATTAAACATACTTTTCTTACTAAATGAAAACTCTAACTCCAAGAATCAATATTATACAAAACAAAAATCTCAATATACACCAGAAATAAATTTATAACTACATAATTCCATTTACAACGCCTAGAGAAGGTTTAATCAAAAAAGAAAAAAAGGGAAAGAATATTAAGGCTAACAAAACAAAGGTGGCAAGAAAACCTTTAATGAGAAAAAAATTAGACCAAAAAAAAAAAAAAAAAAAAAAAAAAAAAAAAAAAAAAAAAAGGAGATTTCGTGAATAACTACCAAAAACTTTCCTACTTCAATAAAAAGCTACCCAAAAAGTTTTAAAACTTTCTAAAAACTCTTACTAGCACTACCAATTCACGATTTCTGTTAACCTATCCATCTAAGGGACCCCCCTCTTTTATTTCCCTCCTAAAAAAAGACCCTAGTTGACCTAGATGTGTAAATGCCACTTAGTTCATCTCTTTCCCCTGTTCATTCAATACAAGAATTGACCGACCACAGCACGTATCCGCAAGATCGATTTTGTGTCTTCAATTTGTTAGTGACGCATACAAGAGGAAAAGGTATTGTTGGGCATCAACTTTAATCTCTCCTAGGACCATTTTATGCGTGAAGTGTAATGGATGACAAAGGCAAGTTGATTTTTGCAATTAAACAAGAAAAGGGAGGTGATGAAAGGTAAAGTGTTGTATTTTAGTTTTAAAATTCTTTGAAATATGTGTGCTTCATATTTTATTAACAATGAATTAGATAATAAGATAGCCCCTAATTTTTTAATTAATAAACCTTAATATTATAATATGCCTTTGATTATTGTGATTGATTGTTTAATGGTGTAATTATTGAATCAAAGTGTTGAAGTTGCTCATTTAAAATAATTAAAGAATAAAAAATAAAATAAAAAATAACACTTATTTTTGTGTAATTGATTGGAAATTGAAATATATAACACAAAAAAAAAAAAAAAAAAAAAAAAAAAAAGCTCCTTTATGAACTTGAATCAATACTGATTGTAATTTGTTTTCTATAATTTAGGATACCATCCAAATAAATAAACATGCACATATGGGTTGGTGGAAAGTTTATTTTTGATAAAGGAAGAACTGATTATGTTGAGGCGAAAATGAACATGAAAAGATGTGTGTGTTGACTGAATTGAATGTTGAAAGTGTGAGGACTTATGTGGCTACTGCAATGAAGGTGTTGTTTGGTAAAATTGCTCCAAAGTTAATTGTTTGGTATAAGAGGCTCGGATTGAATTTATCATGTAGGAGGGCAGTAATTGAGTGTCCAACAGATATAGAAGGGCTACTTAATAGTAAATACATGAATGATGGGGTGAATATGTGCTAATGAAAAGTGTAGTAGACCATCTGTTGGGCCATATGTACTCTCAAGAGTAGCACAACCCAACCCAATTACTTACCAAACTCATCCTTTACTTCACAGCTCATTCTTATCATAATATTGTATCAAGGCCTGAAATTAACACTTCTTCCCCAACAAATCCTAGTCCTACAATCAAATCTGCAACTATTGGCAGAAAAGTTGTGACACAAGAGAAAGAACAAGTAGTGTTAAGGAAAAAAGGGAAGGGTATAGTTAGTGCACAGCAAGGTTAAAGCTCACAAGGGTAAAGGGCACATTAGTGGAAAAAGTAGTAAAATAGATAATATTGAAAACTGGATTGATGCAGGGGAGTGGTCATCAGATTCTGAATACAGTGATGTGAATCAAGAAATATGGAAAGGTAATAAAGTGTGTATGTCAATGAAGATCCAAACAAGTATAAATTCAAAATTTGTGCTTCAGAGGTCAGCATGGAGGAGACCTTTCAGATTAAGTCACTACAATCAAAGCACACTTGCGGTTTTTATCACTCAAGTGGTAAGGTTACTTCTTGAGAGGTTAGCAGAGAAATTTTTAGATGCTTGAAAGATAGATCCTGATTGGAAGTAGTTCAAGTTTAGGGATAGGGTATTATAAGGCATGGTTTGCCACAGCAAGAGTAAAATTGATATTGTACGGTGATGTGTTATGGACTGGGTCAACGGGGTCAACACCGCAAGTCAGCCACCTATTTTGGTGTATACGAGGCGCGCTAAGAAGGGGCAGCAAGGAGCAACAGAACCAAGCAACAAGGAGCATCAGGACAAAGATAATTAAAGGGGAAAATGGGAAAGAAAGCAGCCTCCTTTAATCATGTTCTTTGTGGGTTTCCATTTTGGTTAATTAAAATGTCACATGTATTAGTTAAGCTTTGAGTATAAGTAGTGTAATCCAATGTTAGGGAAATCATCCAGAAATTAGAGTGAAGTTCTTTGTGAGAGTTGTGGCCTCAAGTCACAGTGAGACTCATAGCCTAAAGTTATGCTTATCCCTTTGTAATCTGTAATTCGATCCTTAGTCAATCAAATACTCAAGCTTATTCCCGTTAATTGCGATTAATTAATACTAATTGTGTGTGAGAAATCTGGTACATAACATGATGCGGCTGAGAAATATGCAAGAGTGTATGATTACGGGTTCGCAATCCTTAAGTACAATCCAGGATCATCTGCACTAATTGTTGTTATTGTTTTTTCTTGAACAGATGACATACGAAATAGGTGCTGACGTTGGTAGGCAACCATCTACAAGCAAAAATCCACCTACCACTAACAACCCAAGACCCAAGTTGCAGACTACCTCAAAAAAGATGTAGATTTTTATAATCGTTTTCAGTTGATATGGAATACTTAATAAACTGTGTAATTTAATCGACATGATTATCAAGTGGCAATGAAGTATTATGTCGTGTAGTATTGAACAAGTTGAGTTTTATCTTTCTGTAATGGATCATGTGCTCTTTTGTGGGTAGCTTAAAGTGTTTGAATTTTGGTTATTTTTGTGCTAATTTTGTTAACATAATATGTACAGCAATCGATAACTTTCCCATCATAATAACAATTACATAGCTCACAAAAAAAAAATGTATAAAATTTTCATAGAAATCATAAACTGAAACTGGGAATGCTACCAAATGTTATTAGAAAACTTTGTGTAGTTTTTCTTATAGAAAAAACTTTTTGGGTAGTTTTTCACAAAAATGTAAAAGTTTTTGGTAGTTTTTCACAAATTTCCCAAGTAAAAAGAGGAAAGCTAGTTAATATAGAGATATAGGTGGGGCCCTTAGATGGCAAGCTTGACGTATACTGGTAGTGCTATTAGAAGTTTTTACAAAGTTTAGGTAGTTTTTTCAAAATTATAACTTTTTGGGTAGTTTTTCAAAGAAGCATGAAAGTTATCGGTAGTTTTTCACAAAATTTCCAAAAAAAACACACACTACAAATGTTACAGAAGCAACGAATGTTGTCATCCACGCTATCAATATGTTATTGACACAAAGAACCAGGATGATTCTATTGCCTACGAGACAGAGCAGCCCTTGAAAGCTAGCTGATGCTATCTTTGGGGTGAAACTAGCAATTAAGGATGCAATGACTGCTCTCAAAAAGCAATTAAGGTTTTGGCAGACACGAAGAATCAAATTCTAGAAGAACTTCTATGATAACACAGATACTAACACATTCAAAAGTTACACTACTTTTCATATGAATGAAAATTTGCGTAACTTTCCGTAAAAATTGCAGGAATCAAATGTAAATGTCATGTCTGCTTGCTTAACTAAAACATTCTATCAATTTCAAACTAATCAATTCCAAAACAAAAATCAGAAACCCTAAGTTCTTAAATCTAAACACCCCTAATTTCATAGGTTAAATATGAAATCATCAATTTTACTAGCCTATTGTCAATTCATAATATCAATTTCAAAGAAAAAAAAAATCAGCAATTCAATATTATCAATTCCTAAACAAATCAGAAACCCTAACTCCCTAATTTGATAAATTCAATAACAAATCAACAATGTCAAAGAACATACACACTAATTGACTAGATTAAATAACATAAACAACTAAATTAAGCACAAAATCAACCAAACAAGTCAACAATCAGTGTATATACGAAATTTGAAACTTAAAAATCAATTAAGGTAAATGGGTCGAGTTTGAGTCGGGTTAGTGTGGGTCGGGTCGTCTCTAGGTCGGTTCATGTTCGGGTTCGGGTCTCAAATACTCGGGTCAACTCGGGTCTAGGGTTGGTTTCAGGTCGGGTTCGGGTCACCATTTATTTCGGGTTTAGATGGGTCGGTTAATAATCGGGTTAGGGTTGGTATTTCGGGTCGGGTCAGCTTTTGACAGCTCTAGATTAACCCCGTGCATCATAAGAAGTGAATTATAGACTTATAACACGTACTGAAAGAAAATAACATACTACATTGAATGATTTTTCATTTTGTTCATTCCATTCCCTTTACCGTGTGCGAACCAAACGGCCCCTTAGGGTTTATTTCTTCTGAACATTGAAAACAGTGGAGAGAAACTAGCATAGTGCCCGTGCGATGCACGGTTTATAAATCAAACTATTAACCCCGTAGGAAAAATAAAAATAAAAACAAAGGTAGTTGATTTACTATTAAAGGACTTGGTTACTAATGGTCAATAAAAAAAAAATTAAAGAAACGTTATTTGAATAGTATTTTATGTTATTTGAATTTCTTTTAATTTTTTATAATGTTATTTTATTAATTGAAAAATAATTGAATAATACTCCACATAGCTATATAAGAAGTGGACTAATTTATTTATATCTCCCGTTGAGAAAAAACTAAAAAATTTCTTATCATACCATCCGCATCAGTAGCTACAATCAATCTAATATATACATGTTTTATTTACCCGTCGCACTCATTAAATCTATAGACACAATAATAACCTTATATTTGATCTACCAGAACATATATTTTCCTAAGTGACAGGGTAAAGTCGTATCTCCTAATAAAAAATAATTACCTAAATCACTAACTAAGGTAGATAGGGAAGTAGGGTCGATCTCCACAGGGAAACAAGTCTTTTTACTTCTAATTAATTATTATAATCTAAATTATTTAAGTGACCAATATTTATAATTAAGTATGAAACTAAACTACAAAGAATAAGAGTAGGGAGAGAACGATATATAAAGGGATATAGGGCGTAGGTTTACCAATAAATAATACTCTAGGGTAAAATAATCAATCATTGACATTGCATAAATAACATGATTAACAGACTCTCGCAATTTATTAATCAACATAGATCTAACAGGCTCTCGCAATTTACTAGATCTAAGTCCTTATTGAAAATAGTCTTTAATATCAAATTAACATCTGCTCGATTCATCAATTTAATATTGCTATACTTTTACAAGCCGCAATTGTAAAATATTAAAACAATCCAATAAGAAATTATCATGCAATACCAATAATCAATAATGGTCAATCATCAATGCATCAATTAACCAGATTGTAAAGGGCTCTCGCTACTTATTACAATCACACAATTAATTTATCGGTATTAAATCTCATCTCTCGATTCTTGAATCAATATTGTCAAACTCATGCATAAAAGATATGCCTAATCTAGTCACAGAGCATTAAATCAATCAATAGGAAATCAATCTAGCATTGATAATCAACAACAATAATTTACCCTTTCATATTATTTATTAGATCCCCATAAACCCTAGGAATTGAACTACTCACACATATTAAAAACTAAACTAATCAAAATAATAAAATAAATCATGATGAAAGGAATAAAATAAATAAATAAGATTAAGGGAGAAGAAATAAAAGAGAAAGTAATACTAAGAGTTTAATTAAAAGGAGAGAGAAAAGTTAGAGAGAGAAATATAAAAGAAAACTAAATTAAAAACTAAAACTAAGACTAAGACTAAAAACTAAGAAAACTCCTAAATAAAAGCTAGCTAAAAACCCGTAACTCCCTCCTTTTATAAAGAAAGGAAAAGCAATTTGATTCCCAATCAACTACTACTATTACACCGACATCATCAGCAAACAAAACCCAAACTTAGCAAGCCCAAATAAAAATAGCCCACAAGCATGCTCCTCTCCTTTAACCGTGAAAGATGGATGTTATCAATGGGCCCAAAGCTATAGCAAACCGACTTGAGCAAGAAAACTGCAACACACTCGCCCGATCGGGCCCGCCATTTTATGTCCAGCAGACCTGATGTGATATTATATGGGCTTATTCCTTGGACCTTCTTGTTTACTCTTGGACCTTTATTGTTTGTCATATGTTTTGTGGCTTCATTACTTGGTCCGTAATAGTAGCTTATAATTGGACTTCTTTACTAATCGAGCCCTTAATCACAGAATTAAATTCCTTTAACTCGATCTTGGGCTTTAAAATATACGGTCATAAAATACGCTCCGTCTCTAATATTTTTTTAGTGGCTTAAATAAGCTCGTGAATTATCATAAATCTGCAAATTCCTACAAAATAATATCAACTCTACAAAAACACTAGAAAACGTATATTAGTAATAAAAATAGCTCCGTAGAGCTCAAATAAACACAAATATGACCATGGAATCGGGAATAAAAATATATATAAAATAGACTTATCACTAAGTTAAGCATTGTGCCAAAAACTATATATTATATAATAGTCATATATATAAGCAACATCTGATTAAATATAGTATACAACACAAATACTTCGTATATAGGTATGGATACTGATAATTTTATATAAATAAAATATACGGAGTATATATTACTAAGATTTATCCCTACCTTAATTATAAAATGGTTAACAAGACTCTTATAATAGTGCATGGACATTTATACATCTAAAAATATTCTTTTTACATATATTTTCCCCCATTTAATTTTAAAAGCCTTAAAATTGTCTCTTGAATTCACTAAATTGATTTAAAAGGTTATGTTTATTTCAATATTTAAAGCCATTTACTATTTTCATTTCCTTTTGTTTTAATTTTTCTATTTAGAATTTATTAGACTATTAGGTTTCAAGATCGAAGTCAATATCTTTTTACTGTACAATCGCTAAATCAAAGTCGCTCAACTAAAGTTTTGGACATTGCATAGCTACACAACATCCAACACATTTAATGATTACATGCAAATAATTTTAATAAAACTACGCATTCAATATAAGTTATTAAACAATTTAACTATAGATACATTTTGATAGGTTTATATCTTTCATATTAACAAAAATTTACAAATGTTATTATTATATTTTGAAAAAAAATTTAGACTTTGGAGTTTTGTATAAGATAGATAAAGGATAAGTTGATTCCCGTCATATGTGCATTGAGTTTTGAGTGTTCTATCCGGTTCACCCTTTGGGCTAATCCAGATTTGAGGATCTGTTTTAGGCTATTAGGTTCCACTCCCCTTCCGATTGTTGTTGCAGGGGAGCGAACACAGGTCCTCCCTACCAAGTGTAAGCACAATCACCACTACACCAACAACCAAACACTTGGTATATATGGAGGACACGTGTTACAAAATATTATATTATATACATATACTTTTTTATATTATAAAAAATATTATATTATATACACATACTATTATAGTTAAAAGTATTATTATATATAAAACAACATAAATTATTGTACATGATTGTTGTATATCTAGTATAGTACGTACATGAGCAATGCACGATTTTTAAATCAAAATGTTAGTTTTTCTAAAAAAAATTCATAAGTAATAGCATTGTTAATACGAATATTACAATTTAAAACACGAGTAATAGTTATAATACATTTTATATCTATCCTTTTTCCGTCAAATGTCTAATTCAATCTAACTTTTATTCTTCTTGTTTTGATTGGATATTGGTTCAGTTTTTTTTTTTTTTTTTTTTTTTTTTTTTTTTTTTTATGCAAGAAAAACAAAAGGTCATTGTAAAAGACATTGTATAAAAAATGAAAGGCCGATT